AATAGTGTGATGGGATTGTATTTTCTGCCTTGTGGGTATAGTGCCCCTACTTGTCTGTAACATCAATTGGATAAGCTTGCTTTTTACTTCAACTATTATTTTATCATATAGATTTCACTGTTTTGCCTAAAATTTGAATTGTTTTCTTCTTTTATTCCTTGCACTATTTGCCCATAGTAAAGTTGTTGTTTTCCAACTTAACACTGTTTCCTTTGCTTTGCCCCTTCCCCCCCACCCTATCCCCAGAACACTTGTCCATCCCCTACCTAGTTTGGAAGCTATAAGAGAAATTAAGGTCAGGTGCTAGAAGACAGGGGGCCGAAAGGCCTACTCAAACTGCATAGAGGCTATGCCAGAAATGCTAACTAATCACCAATTATGAAAAATGCATAATTCCAGCCCCCTCACCCTGACTTCCCAGCTTTGTGGAGGAGCTGGGAGTCTGGGCTTCTACCAGCACTCCAGATAGTTGTGATGATCATTCACATTCCATATTGTGCCAACTACTTTTCTACAGCTTAATAAAGAGCTCACCAAAGGACCCATGTATCTCATAAGATTAAAACTCCTGTATGGGATTCTGAGCTAAAACTCTGATTAGAAATAAGGGGGGATTTTCCTTACATATAATTCTTAGAATTGAAAGGTGGCTTATGGAAAATTGGAGAAATTCAGACTCATGGGTGTATTTCTTTCTTGCCTGAATATTTTCATTTTCAAGATCGAGAAGCTGCCCTGACTCTGAGGGGCCTGCCAGGGGCCCTCCTGTAGCCGATCATTGCTGGGACCCGGTGATGTGTTGGAATGAGGCAGCCTGAGCCACAGCTCACACCTCACCTGACACAGAGCCGGCGGCCGTCAGGCCTCAGTAAATGAGAATTCTCAGCCTGGCGTATGCTCAGGAGGGAATTCCAATGGTCATTCAAATACACCCATGTGGTGACACACTGGGCCGACCACGGCCCTCACTGTCCTGCCCTGACGGGTGTTGCAGGACACCCACGCCCTCCTCACCTGAACCGTTACGTTGTAGGTTACGGCCAGTTATGACAGAAAGAGAGGAGCAGCTGCCTGATTGTCTCTAGGCCCCGTTCAAAGCATTCAACGCGTATTTGGGAAACACCCAGTGTGAGAGAGCATTCCTCCTCTTCAAAGGCTGGCTGCCAGGCGGCCTGAAAGAGGGTCTCTTCTCCGCTTGGGAGTTAGACTAGGCCCTTGTGGGGGGCTCTTCAGAAACCCAATGGACAGGCTCGGTCAGTAACAACAGTTACAATAGCTACATCCTCACTATAAAGATACGGATAAACTTCAGGACAATATCAAAGATAAGGAGATCCAGATCAAATGTCATTTACTTAAGCTGAGATTCCCTTTCACCAAATAATTAACTTTGGCGGGGGGGACATGTCTTATACATCTTTATGTCTCATGACAATTAGTATAGCTCTAGATGAAACAGACCCTTAGGAAATGTTTGTTAAATAGGTGATTGTCATTTTTAGTTCAAAAAATGTATATGCTAAGCATCTTCTCTTTGGCAGTGTCTGTTGACCAAGGCATGGTTTCTATATTATGATTAAAGCTTACAATTAGAATTTGATCACTGGAAAATGAAACAGAGACAAAATTATAGATTTTTTTCACCCCCATAAATATGAGTACATTTGGTTGGGTTCTATGTAAATGTGTATATGATATAATTTGTGTGAATCTGGGTACCTGGATTATATCGTTTTATATCATTTAACATGGATAAAAGTTTTGTGAGTCACCAAGTTAAAGCATTGTTATCCACATCTGACCTAAGTAAAACCCCAGATTTGGGGAGGCTAAATTATGCTTAGAAGCTGTGGTACAATAAGGATGTGAATCCAAAGGAGCCAGCACCTCGATGTGGGCCTGGGTTGGGTTCCTGCCTCCTTCAGTCCTATCAGCCAAGAGCACTGGCGAGGCAGGTCCACCCTGGGTCTCTATATAGGAGAGGCAGGGAAGCTTCCAGAGAGCATTCCTCATAAAGGAAAAGGAAACAAATGGGTGAATTTGATAATGGTCAAAAGACCTCACTCAAAGGCAAGATGAGATGCTGGGAACAGCAGGGAGTCTCACTCAGATTGCCCTCTTCGGGGCAGCGCCCTGTGGGGCTGTTATTTTACAGAGAGACGTGGACAAGGAATTGTCCCTGGGCATGATTAGGCCACTAAAGCCGGGCTTTCTACTCTTACCAAAAGTAGTAATGAGTCCCCCAGGACAGCTGGATAACCAATGTGTTCTCTCTGGTATTAATGCTTTGACCAGAATAATATAAACTCGTTTTTGTTTCCCCCACTCTGCTCTGTCATGTGGATGCCAACCCTGACCCATCTGAGCTAAAAACCTGTGATATTTTGGGAATAAAGCTAATGAGCAATGTGGGTTTAGAATCAGTGTGATCATGTTCAACTCCCACTGAGGTCCTATTACTGGCTGTGTGGTGTAGGCCGAATTACTAGATCACTCTGACACTTCACATCCTTATCTATGAAAGGAGGAAAAGAATATCTGCTTCACAGTGTGACTGATGACATGTAAATAGGATAATATTTGGGAAACACCCAGCAGGATCCTCAGCGTAAAGGAAATGCATCCTTTTCCTTATTTCTTAGCTCTTTGAAAACTGTGACTCATGGTTAAAGAATATATATAAAGAAGTCATAAGAGCAAAATATCATTTGTTTATTAGAATCCTAAAGCTCAAATATTAGTCAATAGAAATCTCTCAGATACTTAGACTTTTCCTGTAATTTATTAACAAAATACGGTTTTGCTGTGTTTTGTTTTATTCTGTCATCTTTTTTATTTATTTATTTATTTTTTTACAGATTTTTATTTATTTGTTTTTAGAGAGAGGGGAAGGGAGAGAGAGGAAGAGAAACATCCATGTGTGGTTGCCTCTTGCACACCCCCTACTGGGGCCCTGGCCTGCAAACCAGGCCTGTGCCCTGACTGGGAATCGAACCAGTGACCCTTTTGTTTGCAGGCCGGCACTCAGTCCACTGAGCCACACCAGCCAGGGCTTATTCTTTCATTTTTCAGTCTGAGCCTCTTCTCAGACCTGCTGGAGGACATCACTACAATTCACCTGCACCAGTTACTTTTGCAGAAGCTTGGTTTTATTTCTTTGTTTTCTGGGCTCTTGTTTTTTTGCCCATTCTTTCTCAAGCATTTTTGAACTGAGATAGTAAGCGTAAATGACATCCCCGAATGTTTCTGATGGCCCTTGTGGCAATATTCTAAATTCAGAAAAGCCATGGCTTATATTTTATGTGAGAGAAATTATCCTATATTGTCTTCCTCTTCTTCCTTTTTAGGGTTTTAACCTTAACACAAGGCATACATATTTTAGAGAAAATAGTAATTTTTCTAGGTATAGTTAAAAAGCCATTTTCCAATTTAAAAGTTGCCTGTTTTTTCTTTTTACCTTTAAAACAGGGCACTCAATAATTCCATAGTGGTTTTTGTTACATTCAGAGCCAATATTGCTTTATTCAAATTGTTCATGTATTGGAGTTAGTTGTGCAGAGCCACATTTGTGCATTTCTGAGGCTGGAAATGCCCTCGTCCTGTGGCAATGAGAAAACTAATGACCAGAGTCAAAATGTTTTGCCCAAATGAACTACTGAGTAGAATGGTCAATGAGTAGAATAGATAGTCAGCAATGAGGCTTTTTGAGGACTGAGAGAGAAACAGGAGGGTAGAACATAAAAGTTTCCTTTTTGCTTCCCAATTTCATGGGAGAAGAAAGATACAAAACAGTAATGGTATATGAGAAAATTAGGGTGCAAAACTAGATCTAGAGAAAGCAGATAATATACTATCACACATACCCTACATTTGAATGACACATGATACTACAAGAGCAGAGAGGAGGAGAATTCAAAAGACACTGTAATTACTGTGTTAAAGAAATCACTGTTACACTGTGCTTGCCACTAAGATCTCGAACTTGTGTTAAAAGAAAAGAAGTTCCCCTTCCAGATCATTCTGTCCGCCTGAGCCCAGAAGAAGTGATTTATAGCCCTTGGAGCGGGTGTCCTTTGGAATTCTGTTGAGGTTCCTATAAGCCCTTATCAGATGTGGTCATGCCATTGGTTCTGAGTGGGGGTCTACAGTGTTCGGTCAAGCTATTCACCTGCCTTGATGCTTTCTTCCTTTCACAATATTTTCTTACTCCTGTATTATTTTGTGTGGTCATCATGCTAATGGGCGATTGATTGTCACTTAATCCAGCTCTGTCACCTGAATTCTGAGAAAGGCAACTCCCCCTAGTAACTGACTCATATTTATTATAAACACAAGCTCTTTCTAATCAAATGGTGCAGAATGAAATGAATTGCAACAGAGATTCTGATATTCTGCTTCTCATATAAAAAATTTTTTATCATTAAACTGCTTTTCACAGAAGTAGCTTCATTAGGCTCAGGTGTGTGTGCTTTTTCAGACTGAATGTCGTCACCTTCAGAGGTGACCCTCCAGAGCAGGAGTCGACTCTACCCATAGTCCTTCCTGCATGCTCCCGCAGAGGGCTGCCTACCCAAGGTGAATATTTCATCTTGTTAGAGGTGCCCTCTTACAACAGCATATATTGTGGGATTGTTAACATGTATGCACAGCAATAAAAGGCAATGAAAAGTACAACAGAGTTTAAGAGGAGATGAGCGAGAAAAACCCTCCACACAATAGAAACTGGATGTTAGCGAGCGCTGGGAGCCAGCTGTGGGAGCCCGTGGCCATCTGCCCTTACGCTTCCCGCCACGTGGCTCTTGTCTCAGGGCCTGTGCTCTCTGATTTTCTGCGTTCGCTCCGCATTCCGGACAGCACCCCATGTTAAGGACAGAATCTGATTAATACACATTCTTGATATCATAAATCTGAGACCTGAGATTTTTGAGCACTTACATTACCATTCTCCAAAATCTCACACAGAACTAATCCTCCACCTTCGAGACTCTACCGGGCATCCCTCACATGGATCTATGCGTCCACTTTATTCTCCGCAGGGCACCCTTGACCTCTGCGTTCCTCAGGCTGTAGATCAGTGGGTTCAGCATGGGGTTGAAAAGGCTGTAAAACAGGGAAAGGACCTTCTGCTGCTCCTCGGGGTGGCGGGATTTGGGGGCCATGTACATGACAATGGCACTGCCAAAGAAGAGCCCGACCACGCAGAGGTGGGAGGAGCAGGTGAAGAAGGCCTTCCTGCGGCCCTCCCCTGACTGGATCCTCAGGACGGCAGAGACGATGCGTGCGTAGGAGACCAGCACCACGCACAGGGGCCCCACCAAGACAAACACACAGGCAACAAAGATGACAAGCTGGCTGAGCCCAGTGTCAGCGCAGGCCAGCCTGAGGACAGACAGGATCTCACAGAAGAAGTGGTTGATTTCACAAGGCCCACAGAAGGGCAGCCTCAGGATGAGAATCACATGGACCAGAGCCAGGAGGGAGCCACACGCCCAGGACATGGCGGCCAGGACTGTGCACACCCTCCAGCTCATGATGACAGAGTACTGGAGGGGGTGGCAAATGGCCACAAACCGATCATAGGACATCATTACCAAGAGGAGACACTCAGTGTGAGCAAAAGCCATGTATAAAAAGGTCTGTATTATGCATGGGACAAAGAAGATAGTTTTTCTCTTGTTGAGAAGGTTTTCCAACATCTTGGGGACATTGTTTGAAGCATATGAAATATCAACAATGGCCAGGTGACAGAGGAAGAAGTACATGGGGGTGTGCAGTCGGGAGTCCAGCCAGATGAGCCCCAGGATGACCCCATTGCCCAGCAGGGTGCAGGCGAAGAGCAGGGAGAAGAGCCCAAACAGGAGCATCTGCATCCTCGGGCTGAGGGGAAATCCCAGGAGAACGAACTCTGTGACCCATGTCTGATTTTTCATCATGCCCTGGTGACGGTGCCTGCGGGGGTCGCTGTAATGCACTATGTGCTAAGGAGCAAATGCAGATCTGGATTAGTTATGAAGCAGGAAAAGGTGGTTACGGTGCACACATGTGTTGGCTCAGCCAGCAATTCTTTGCAGAGTCATTATGTCAATTCCTTTCATCCACACTGAAGTGGGAATTCTACAGAATTTGATTAACTTTGATGCCAAGATCCACGTTTTTACTGTCATGATGGCAGCCACAGAGAGAATGTTTTCCAGATTGACTAGTCCTTTTATTTCTGATAAAGGCCCATAATTATATTGTCATATAGTTTTACTTTCTAATTTATTTCATTTTAAAATTTTGTTCCCATTTCTCTTTCTCACTTGATTTGCTCTTTTTATGTAACATGTACAGAATGCATTGCACATTGCAGGTGCTCAGTAAATGAGCACAGAGTATATATATGAATTAATAAATTAGGGAGTGAGATTTACAAATGCAACATCAAAGAGGTCCATTTTCTTCTGTGTCCATTATGTTTAGGGCTTTAATAAAAGTCAGCAGTAAGTGTTTTACTTCCTGATGCTATGCAGGAAAATCTGGCTGTCTCCCTTCTGGGCACAAGCAGAGTGACATAACTAATCTGCTCGGCATTCAGAGAAGTAACTTATGGTACAGGGTCAGGGCTGGTGGCCATCGATGTAAGGAGTTAACAATACAATAATACCCCTGCCTCTGACAGGGCTTCTCCCTGGTTCTGAGTAGATGCTGTTTCTGGGCCCCTCCGCATTTGAATAGTGCCCAATACATTTGTTGGATGGATGGATGAATGGATGGATGGAAGCCACTACATTAGGAGTAACATCCAAAGTGTCTACCTTGGAATTTAATTAAGATCTTTGACTCTTCTTTCATTTTCTCTGGCTGCCATTCCACCAACCATATGGCCACAGGGGCACCGAAAGGGAAAACTTAAGATGTTCCACAGAGGCGTACACCTACAACAATTCATGAGAAACAAGATCATTCTCAACGGGCCGTTTGTAACCCCAGGTCTGCACATTCCAACCCAGTCTTAAGCCCAGAAAACAGCCTGCCCATAACTTGACCCTGTACCTCCCATTCAGTATGCTGATTTCTGGACCCCTTCTTTACTCCCCACCCCAGCTTTCCTAAATTACAACACTTTGCAAAAGGCTGTTAACTCACTGTGGCACCAGCTTGGTCTTCTCTCAGAGATATTAGATTTAGAGGAAATTGCACAGAAGCGAGGAGAGACTTTGCAGCTCAGAGGTGAGGGTCTCGCTCCCTCCAATGGTCTCGGAAAGAGGGACTTCACAGGCACAGGAGTCGTCCCTGGTCTCTTGACTCAGGGCCTGGGTCCCGCTCACTGGGAGCACCAGCTCTAAAGGTTTTAGGTGAGGTTATCTCCTCCAAAGCCCTCCTTAACTGTTCCTGAGGGTCCCCCAGGGAGATGGGACAAGGACACAAAAGACATAGACACCATTTCTATCTGGAGAATCAGAAGTTGTTTGTCTTTCTAGCTCCGTTTCTCTGGGCCCTGGGGATGGATGTTCAGAAGAAAAGAAGCTGGTATTATTGACTTAATACCCAGCCACATCCATACACATGAAAGTCGCACAGTAATAAGGGCAAACATACTCCTGGGACCACACTGCAAACTGCGCCCCGTCAGTATTTAGATGGTGATGGGCTCCGGGATCTCAGCCTTGCCCTTACTACAACTGGAATTAGTTAGCAATTAATTAAACTGTTTTAGAGTTCATTAGAAATATCTAGGCCAAAGATAAGAGTTGGGAATCACATGCATTAGGTGATAAAGTCAAGGTTAATTAAAAAGGTCATTTAAGGAGAGCAGCTTCAATGAGAAGAAGACAAGACAGTATATTATGAATGACCAATATTTAATAGATGGGCACAGGAAGATCAATCTCCAAAAGAGGACAAGAAGAAAGACCAGAAAGATAAACAGAAAACCAGAAACTATGAATGAGGGAAATCAATGAGCTATGCTTGCTTCCTGTATGTTATGTCGGGACACAAACTAAGATATTCTCTTTAATTCTGTAAGGGATTCTAAATCTGTTTTTTAGATACAGGAAAATTCTGCCTAGAGCTACACTGCAGTTAATATTACAGGAAAAAAAAGTAAAATAAAGCCAAAGTTACTGAGAGAAAGGCATTGCTGCCCTTAAAGAAAAATATAGCACTTTGACCTTCCTTTCCCATTTACACTGACCTGTCCCAGGGTGAGTACTAGGCAACACGCATGGAACAATTTAATTTACAGAGACCCAGTTATTCAAAGGTTAACCAGAAAGAGCATACAAACGTGCAGCAACATCACTGTGAAAATGAAAAGCAGTTCTTACCCCGTGTGAAACAAGGACTCAGCGGGTGGACTATGATGCCAAGGATGGGGAGGTAAATGACCAATGATTTCCAATCTGTGACTTCAGTAGTGCCCCCTGCCAGAAATCTGTCACATTCAAAAGGAGCTCCTGTCAGTACCCTGGACACACATCTATATTCCAGCAACATATCACATTATTCTTAACTGCTCAACGCTCTCAGAAAGGGCTGATGAGTGGGAAAGTAATGGGTTTCACGCCTTCTCACTTTTTCTCCAATTAGGGGACAAAGGTCAACATGATCTCTCATATCTCCAGGACCACAATATAAACTCAAGGAGACAAATAAGGAGCCACGTCATCTTTAAACACAGAAAAATCAGTATTGGATATTCAGTGTATTAATAAATATGATTCTGAAGGACAAATTGTATGTTGTTAATTTACTGTTGTTGTTGCTCTTTTTAAGAAAACCATTATAGTCTCCTTTTATCTCTTAACTGCTAAGCATTTGGTAGAGTCCTTAGGTGACAGAGAAGCATTTGTCAAAGCCTGGTCCAAGGGCCGCCAGCATGAAAAGAGAACTTCACTATTTATAAGGAAACACTTTGTAAATTCTAAAGCTCAAAGTAAATGTAAGGTACTGTTTAAAAAAAAAAAAAAAAAAAGCTTTCATGCATGCACAGAACCTTAGAGACCACTGTAACCAAAGGTGTCATGTTGAAGATGAGAGTACTGAAGCTAGAAATGGTATGACTTCTTCAAGACTAAAGGCATATTTAAGACAGGAACCCAGGCATCTCAAATTTAGTGTATTCAAAATGGGATGCTAAATTTTCCTTGTCTCACAGTAAGTTTAACTGTTATGCCTCCGAGTTACTCAAGGGAGAAATTGAGTCATTCTTGATTCTTCTTCCTTTCCAAAATTGATTTATGTTCTGTTCACACCTCTCCATCGTCAGTGCCGCTGCCATAGACCACAGTCTATGGGGGGTGCGTGGGTTAGAAGAGAGGGAGACAGGTGTGAGACCCGTAGTTAAAAAGGACCTTAAACACATACACTTAGCACTAATTCCAAATTTAATAATATAAATGGATATAGATTCATTGCATCAATTAAAACTTTTTTTCCAACTTTGTGATTTTTATTGTTGGGCGGCCGCTTTATACTCCTATGGAACCGCTAAGCTATACCATTAGAGACGCAGCATTGCAGAAGAGCTGGCAGCAGAAGCAGACCCAGCTAAGGGGAAGCTCGGTCTTTGTAATTTTGCCCCTTTTTCATTTTGTGTACACAGAAGCATAAATACTACTTGAAATCTTTTAATGGCAATAAAGTTACAGTCACGCCTCCATGTGACCAACATCTGAACTCCGAATATTTGATCTGTGATAGGTATGTAAGCAGTTTCTCATCACAAAATTATTAAAATGTATTTTTCCCATTAGAAACCAGCAACTAACGTTTTGTGTTTATTTTTTCTTTTGAAGAACTATGCACCGCACAGAACTGTTCTGTTGTATGGAGGAAGCTCAGCTGAAGAGTGAGGAGTCACAAAGAACTGATTCAATTCATCAGGGCTAAAATCTCCAAAAATATACTGTGGAGCCCAGGGCCCTGGTGGCCAATTTCTTTTTTTTTTTTTTTTTTTTAATTTTTATTTATTGATTTGAGGGAGGGAGAGAGAGAGAGAGAAACATCAATTTGTTGTTCTACCTATCCATCCATTCATTGGTTGATTCCTGCCTGTGCCCTGACTGGGGCTCGAACCATAACCTTGGCCTATGGGGAGGATGCTCCAACTAACTGAGCTACCTGGCCAGGGCTGTGGCAGCCAGTTTCAATAAACCTGTGCACTGCCTGACCCCTCACACTGCTTCGCCCTCCACCACCATCCCTTCTCGCCAGCACACACACCACACACAAAACTTTGTTGTGTAACCTTAAATCCGTGTCCCGCTTCTGGACCATGCTGCCTAGAGTGTTCTGTGAATACTGTCTTATCATCCCATAAATATCTTAGCTCTAACAAAGAGAGATTGCTATTATTTTTGCCTTAACAGAATTAGTTAAATGAAAATGCTTGATCTGTGTCTTTCATAGCCTGTGTGAGGCTTCATTTCAAGTGAGGGGTGGGCACAAAATCCACTCTGCTAATGTAAAGTCTCTTAACTTGTCTTGGGCTTCTGTTCCTGCCACCACACAAGCCATTCTCTACACAGTTACAATTACTCCTTTCAAATACAAAGCACATTATAGATCTCTCCTGGCTAAAAACCTGCAACCCCTCTTGGACTAACACAAAACCCAGTTTTCCTTTGAAGCCTTTAAAACAGCAGGAGTGATCTGGCCCTTCCTCCTTTGGAAACTGCATCTCTTTAATCAGAGTATAAAAGCCCTAGTGGACCTAGAACGAGCTGTATGTGATCGGCGCTTTGTAGACTCAGGGTTTTTTCACTCATGGGTTCCTATGCCAGGAGTATGACCTCACTTTAATTGTAGTTGTCACCCTCTCCTCCAAACACTTGTCCTTGCACAGCAGCACGTGCCACAAACTAAAGTTCTTGTGCCTTTTCATTGCTTCTCGTAGCAGGTGCTCAATTAAAGCGCCACATAAATAAGTCCACACATCACTGGTGAG